GATGTTTGATCCTAAGCACTTAAAAGTGCTTAGATGCCTTGTTTTAAGCACTTTTAGTCGCTTAAAAATTTGGGTGTGGGCGTGGGCGTGGATGTAAATTTACCCAGGTCGAACAGTACGGTCCGTATACGGCCATTGACGGTTACTTTACGACTATTTTACGGGCGAAATTTGGCCGTAATATCTGGCGTAGTAATACGGACCGTATTATCATGAGAGTACGGAGCACAAACAGCCGTAAACCATGAAAATTCAGTCCCGTTTACGGTGCCGTATTACTGCTCCAGGTATTACGGGCAAATACGGCCTATTTACTGCCGTAAAGATACCGTTTTGACATCGTTTACCGTCAACAAACAGACCGTAAACGAGTCCGTTTTGATCACCTGGGTACTTTTATCCACACCCACACCCTCAAAATATGTATATTGAAAATGAGAAGCCTCAGTTTTATGATTAATCCAAGGAGCTTCCAACCCAAAATTTCTTCTAAATTTAACGAAGAGCACATTGTGAAACCTGTGATGACACGATAAACTAGTGTGCGGCATAAAATTTGTTCGTTTCAGTCTCACAACGTGCGCTGGTAACAGAAAGTATCAAAGCACTACGGGAACGGGAACAAAATAGATTTTTCGGGAACTGGAATGCGGGAAGGGAAAGAGTTATTTTTTCCATCGGGAGCGGGAACAATAAAAGTCGTTCCCGCAGGACTCTACCATATACCTCAAGAAACGATTGGAAAATTAGCTAGATGCTTGCTGCAGTTCAGAGTTCGTTGGATAGTTCCCGAACCCGAACGTAGACCACTCGATTCCGAACTAAGTACTTGAGTTCGGGTCCGATGCACGCTCGATTATTTGTTTTTAACGAAAAACCGATTTTTCGATTATCGACATTCGAAGCAGCTTCGCACTGCATTTCGTAGTCGAGTGAAACTCACATCTATTTTAAATTGTCTTTCTACTACCCAGTGAAAAATATTCGAAAAAAAATGGACAAGACGACGTTTCTTGTCCACTAGAATGCATGCGTTCCTTTCTTTAGAGAACGCTTTCTATACTTTGATAAATACTTTCATACTCAACAGGAACATGTCCTACATTTGAGGGAACGGATTCTGTAAAGTCGATATCGTATTCTCTAACGTTCTTTTTAGAGTCGTTTAAGAACAGATTCCAAGATATTGACGAATTTTTTTTAAGTGATATAGAATAATTCATAAACAAAAAAAATACGTTCTCGATCGCTCCAGACAATACATGAAACTTTCTTCTAAATTAAGAATAATTTTTAAAAGAATGGAATACATTCTAGTCTGTTTCATAAGAGTATGGAATTCCTGTACTTTCTCAAATCAATAAAAATTATTCTAGGTGATTTTTGTTAGATGAATACAGATCACCATAATTTTTTAGTTTGTGTTATAATTATCCACTGTCAAGACCAAGAGGTGATTGTTAATTTAGAGATATTTTTATTCACAATATAATCAAAAAAATCATCAACATTTTATACATGAAAATAAAAAAATGTAACGAGTATTAAGATGATTCAGTTTTATTTGGCAATCGAATAAAGAAAAATCTCTCATCTTGTTGAAGAAAAAACACATTTTCAACAATTTGTGAATATGCAATTTGTATCGAAACGTCAAAATTTATTCTTCCAATAGCTGTATTTGAATTTTCAACAATGATATTATTTATAGTTACAAAATCAGAATATTCATCTTCTAGTTCATAAACGTGAATAAGTACACGAAATTTTTCTTGAAGGTGTGGAAAAATCATAGAAGTTGCTGCATGTGTTCTGTGCCGTTCTGAGTTGGAAATAGATGGAACGCTTTCCAAAGAACTAGGAGCTTTCTTTTGTCAGAATGGAAAGCGTTCCAACAGTAGCAGATTGCTTTCTTGACCGTTCCATTTTGGAACGCTTTTTTTTCTTAAAAAAATGGCTTCCTTTTTTTGGGAACGCATTCTTAAGCGGTTTATTTTTGGAATATTTTTCACTGAGTAGTTTTAATTTAAAATTGAATTTGTTTTTTCAAAAAAAGTTCATCGACAAAAAATATTTTTCTTGGTGATAAAAAATTCATAAACATTTAAGCTAGAATTATTAGTCAATAATTTTTTTTCTCAAATGATACAACTACTTTTCATAAATTTCATGTTATCATGTATGAACATTTTCATAAGTATACATCGATTTAAAATATTTGACAATATAGAAATAACAATTTTCTCCTGTCAAATACATTTGTTCTACACAAATTCAAATTTATTTAAGTAACAAATGAAAATAATTATGATGTATCAATATCAAGAAAATAATCTTTGAAATGTTTTGGAAATCGAAAATTTGTATCTGAACATATATATCTCACTTTTGAACAATTAATCTGTGTTGCATCTCGTTTAAAATTGTATGTTACTCTCTTTAAAGGTTTATAATCGACAAAAAGATCAACACCATATGGTAAACGTGTTTTCGTATCAAGTAGAAATTGTTCGACATAATCATGATGAGCTTCATTCAAAATAAGGCACTGTAGATGAGAATATTCAATAACTAATAAATCTTGATTGGTATTTTTTAGTTTTTTACATTGTTTTTCCTTTTGTGCTTTTCGATTATTTATAATTAAACGTTTCATAAATGGAAATGATCTCTGAATTCGAATAAAAAATTCGTGTTCGAAAGGATGTTCATCAAATAATGATACTTCATGAACACATGGAAATAATCCACCTGGAAAATTATTTGCGATTTTGTAATAATGTCTCAGTGTGTATGGATATGAATAGATAAGACATTCACCTTCATTATCTCCTAGAAAGTAATTGACACAAGAAATAATTTCATTATTTAACAACATAGTTGAATGAATATTGAACCGAAATTGATTTAGTTCTGGTAAATAATCAACAATATTTTGTTTCAAGTCATTTCCATTAATAAATCTATTACGATGAACGTGCGATAAATACAAACTGAGTTGTTCTAAATTTGACATTCGATGTAAAAGTGGTATGATTATTGTATCATAGCAATATAAACTCAATCGACAAGATAATGAAAAACATCGTAATTTTGGTAGTTTTTCCTAAAAGATAAATTATATACTGGTAGCGTTTAATAAAAACATACCTTATCTATTATTAAGACCGAACGCGAAGATCTCATTCCTATATCAACATAGAATGTCCGAAGTTGATGAAACGACCATCAAGTAAATAAAGACAATCTTGAATATACATGACTTTGACATGTAATTCTAATAAAGTTGAAGAGAACACAGTTGGAGGTGAAGAGCCGAATGATATTCGTTGATAACAAAGAAAAAATGGATCGAAATTAAAATATTGTAAGTTGGTGAACATATTAAAAATATGTGTGAACACAAGTGTATCCAAATTTATTGACGCACCTTGTTGTGTGTTAATAGTATTAATCGTAAATGATAAGATGTCATTTTTCAATCTATGCATTACAGAAGTTTTGTCTAAATATAAATACAAAATTTATGATACAAATTAATGATCTAGTTATAGTATTTATTCTTTTAATCATCTTTCTTTTCTTTGTTTAAACAAAAAAGTTATTTTACGATGTAACGTGTCCAAAAAAGTCTTTATTCGATTTTCATTCGCTTATCAATTACAGGAAAGAATCAAAAGTATTGAGCAATAATGACAATGTTGTGCTCTGTTTAAATATATATTCAGAATTTTCTTTTTACTTAAAATTGATTCATTTAAAGCAAATATTTGATCGACATCAAAAATGTTCTTTGTACAGAATTTGTCATGTAGTCCATTTTTTGTGTTCTGATTAAAATGTTTCAATTCTAATTATAAGAAAGTCTTTTTTCTATACCAGTTTGCAGAACAAAGCTTGCTCTATAGAATGACTCGTTTGCTTCACTCCCACATAGCTTTGTAAGTTATCAGAAAATGTTACAATTTGAATACCAAAATTCGACACCAATGATTATTTCGAAAAATGTCGTTTCCTAACAAGAGTAACACTTCGAAAAATGAATGCGGTCTTTGAAATCGAGCTTATTGCAATCAACTATTGTGTCACACATTCAAGACTACGGAACTACGAGGTAGAAGCTATCCAAAAAAAGTATGCCTTAAAAAACTCAAGAAGGATAAGAAAACAGTTTATCACAAACACTATTTTTTTTATTCATAAAATATCTCCTTACAGCTAATTAACGATAGATCAAAGCGAAACTCCAGGAGTATATTTAAGAAGAACGACAAATGTTGGCTCTAATCCACTACTTTCAATCCTCTTGGGTTTCGTTTAGGTGTTGAAAAAATGAGCCAACATATTTATCAAGACCTATGAAACCAGTGTTTTGTACAAATGTAATTTTTGGTCGCAATGAAAGATTTGTTTCCAATGATTTAATTCTAAGTGAAAGCAAAAGTTTTGAATATATATTTAAACAGAGCACAACATTGTCATTATCGCTCACTACTTTTGATTCTCTCCTGTAATTGATAAATGGACGAAAATCGAATAAAGACTTTGTAGACACATGTTAATCAAATATGTAGATATCTAACTGTATAAAGTTAGTTATAATCATTCGAACTGTCATTCACTTTAATAAATCAATTATTAAAAGGATCGCAATAAAAATATTTTACCAGTAAATAGGTTTAAAGCAGCCTGTTTTTCAATGTAATATATACCAAGTCTAAATAAATTTGGATAATTTGCAGAAAGAAAAATACGTTTCATAGATAATGGTTCAAGATCAAGCCATTTGATTTGACGAGCTATTTTAGGTAAGATCTGTAAACAAAATCGTTCAAGAATTAAATCAGATAATGGATAAATATAATCATATGATAGATAATTGAATAATGTTAAACCACTAGTAAAAGTGGGATCATGTACAATGTTATTGAATCGTGTATTAACATTTATGAAAGAGTACAGAACATCAAGTTTATTTAACTTTTTGAAAATAATAAAAATAATTTCATCAGGTAAATCATTGAATTGAACTGATGAATATTCCATCTTCATCTATATGTATATCTATTTTTCTTACGTTATAAATATCAATAATTTTACGTGTTTATTTAAATTGACTCGTTCTATTTGACCGATATCGTCCATAAAAACAATGAAATGAATTTTTTTCTATAGTCTAATGATGTAAAATAGACAATGAATATGAATAACATTATTTCTTCTCTCATGTTATTTGTCACACTTGATGAACATTTTTTTTAAACATTCATAGAATATATATCTTCATCTGCCACAAATGTTTGTTCATTATTATATGAATATGTTGATCTCCATAAGACGAAAAGATGACCTTCACAATAATGGCATGATTTAGATAGAGTGTGAGGATAAGTAGTTTCCTTTTCTGTAACACATCGAACGAACTATTGGTGTTCTCCAATCCAGAATGAACTTCAAAATGAATCAATTAATTGATTGACTTGATCTTGTGTAATTTCATCCGAATAAAATGTTTTGTTCATATCGAATTCAAATAATTTAAGTTTAGGCAAATAATTACCAATGATTTTTTCCATTGATATATATTAATTCATTTCGAAAATTCAGAACATAAAGTGATATTCAAACGACGTAAATTAGGTATATTTTGCAAAAAAGAAAGACATCATTTTTGAAACATTAGACCAATGTACACACAATAGCAAAGGTTAAATTGATTAGTGTTACAAGAGGAGATGGTATATAATCAATATTATCAGAAAAATGAATATATCTCTCAAAACTTGCTTAAGACAAGAAGCAAATTGACTGATCTGATTCCATGTTAGTAAATATTCATTGATATTTATATATTCGAGAATGAAAAGAAATGTTTGTTCTTTTTTAATGGGAACGTTTATTAAAAATAACGAAGTTTTGATGAATTCCCAATATTATAAATAATTAATAGAAAGTCAATTTGATTTGTATACGAACAATAGTAAGAAAAAGTTGAATGAGTGAGATTTTAAAAATATTGAAATTCATTGATCTTTTATTAGTGTTTCATATGAGCTAATGTTGGATAATGAAAGTGATCGTAATTGAATGAATTGACTGAATAATTGTATATAAGAAAGAGACCAGATTAATTTCTTCTGGAGTATTTCCATATCCAGAAAGTTTAAGAATATGAACTCGATCAGCAATGAATGATAAATGTGGTTGATTCACACCCATGCAACATCCTTACTTCTATTCTGCACTGCTACATTATTAACTGGACGTGCTCGAATAAACACTGGAATTAAACTTAATACTATTACCATTGATAATGCAAGTAGACTTGATCAATCGGAATGCCGAGAGTTATCGAGTTTAACGGAAAATGCCATGATCTGCCCAACAAAAAATAAAAGAACCTTATGTCACAAAGATATTATTGACGAGGTAAATGAATGTAAATATTACGTCTGCGTTTGACGTGTGGGTGTCTTACTCTTATGCACCCATACACCCACACCCTCTCCTCTTCTGTAATGGCTTCAAAATTACCTGAAGTCGAAGAAATAACATTTAAATTATAGAAGAAAAAAACAACCTCATTTTATGTGTCGAACTTTTTCTAAAAACATATTTTCTTCCTTTGCAATATGCTCAGTTGGTAAAAGCAACTGATTTATCATAGCTATCATTGGTTTTGCACATTGTTCTGCTTCGATGTCAAATAATACTTGCTTAAGTATAGTCAAATAGCAAAAACTTTCTAATAAATTCCATTTGTCATCTGCTAATAACATTTCTCTTTGTTTTTGATAAATAATTAAAAATTCTTTTGCATATTCAAAATTAAATTGTGATCCAATAGCACAGAGACGGGCAAGTCAAGTCAACAACTGACTTGATGATTTTTTTGAACGAATTATGACTCGACTTGGCTTGACTTGTAAACAGTCATGAGTTGACTGGAAACAAGTCGTGCAGAGATATTCAAGTCAAGTCAAAAAACGACTTCATTTGATGATTTTTTGAATGAATTATGACTCAACTTGACTTGACTTGAAAATTTTATCAATACCCAATGACTTGAGTTGACTTGTGGTCAAAAATTTCTGAGTTGCCCACCTCTGCAATACCACACCATAAACATAATGCTAAAGCTAAATCAATCAATAATGGGTCAACATACATATCATCAAAATCGAGTACAGCAGCAATTTTCTTTTCAGTAGGAGAAAGAAGAACATTATCATCATGAATATCAGCATGAATATAACCGATTGGCAAGTTTTTTACCAGATTTTTTTCGAAAATATCTTGCTCATCTTCATCACTAATTAAAGGGATTGATTTCGTATACTGATCCGTTATTAGACATATTCTTTGATATAAATCTGAATATTCTTTTTCAAATTCCGCACAAGAATGAACAAGTTCATATTTAACATTGATGAAATAACTTTGAATTTTTCCGTTTCAATATTTGAATGCATTCGACCAAGAAATCGGGCAATTTCTGATGTTTGCCATAATTGACGAACTGGTGTTTCAGGTGTATCTAAACATTTGATACCATGAATAAATGGAAAAAGAACACAATAATTTTCATTATTAAATATAAAAATTCCCGGTGGATCAATCATAGGTGCAACAGGAAGACTAAGCTCATTGAAAAGATGATCAATAGAATATAATTGGGTCACTCCACCGGAAATCGTTAGTCGATCTGGCAACCACGTCCAAATTTGTTGAAACTTTCAGAGTTTGTAGAGAATTTTTTGCTGATCGTTTTGGTGATAAACTTTTTCAAAATAAACTTTGTTTTCCCAAAGATACAGGTAAAATACAAAAAATTAACTTTTATTCTTTTTACAAAAAAAAGATGAATTGTTTTGAAATAGCGATGAAAGTCCCACTTTTTTACTCGGATTTTAAAACCAACTACATATTCAGATTCTTCGTGAAAAACTGCATCACAATCCGTAGGAATTGAATCAATTTTGACGACTTTTCTACGGTGCACTAGGTCGCTAAGGAGATGTGCAATGTTTGAAAAATTCGATCTGAAAGTCAGAATTCATGGAAATAGTGGCACTAGCAGTTGGATAGAGCGAAACTTGCTCTACAACATGCACTAGTTATTTTTCTCCCCGACTGTAATTTTGGAGTGAACGAGTGTCCAAACTATTTTCGATGACAATTTTTTATAGATTTATGTTTGTTTATACAGTGAAAACATTTTAGTATAAATAAGAGAATAATCGACACCGTTTGGGGTGTGGGTTTGGGGTGTCGGTGTAGGTGTGGGTGTACATGAAAAGATAAGAAACCTTCAGTGTAAACACGCAACCATACCCACACCCAAGATATATTAATGATTTCTTTTGTATTTCTTTTGTTTAAATATTTATTTATGAACATGGATACATCATAAACTTTGATGTAAGTGTCTGTTAATATTTTTTATATGATCAGAGTTCTTGTGATTTGAAACATTTTATTTTTGTTTATTATAAATCTATGTTTATTCATTGAAATGAAAAATGAAATAAGTTTCTTTTTAACAGATATCATCTTATGTTGTTAGATACCAGATTTTCGAATATTGTACACTTTGCACACTTTGTTTTAAAAAACAACGTGTACGGGTACATGGTGTTCTAAAAAACACAGTTTACCTGTACATTCTATTTCAGATTCTTATTAAAAACGCTGGGTATGAATTTTTGCGTCAAATGTCAGTATTTGACGAATTGCATAGGAATCATCAGTTCATTAGAACTTCAATTGAGCAACAAACATACAGTGAGTAATCAAGAACATTTGAAAACTTGAAAACTTAAAATATTAAATAAAATAAAAAGCACTGTGTTTTGTGCTGTGCGATGATTGTTTTGCTTATTACGCCAATCAGAATAAGTAGACTTATGAACAAACAAATAATTCGCTATTTTTACCTCATTAAAATGACTGCAACATAGTCACTACATCTATTCGTTTTGTATTTGTTTTCATTCGAAATACAGTTAGCATGTATTATCTATACTCATGTATACCTTCGTTGGCAATTTTACAATAGAAGATATCACGAAACATGTTGAGATTTAAGCATAAAATAGAAATTTGGGTTTAAATGTGGTAGAATATGAATTCTTGAAGATCTAGTAACATGCTGCTACATAAAGTCGCCATGTCACTACATAATGCTAACGTTTATATTTTTATTAGATGATTAAAGATCGATGACAACATACTGATTGAGGCAGCAAAAAAATCGATCTGCTTTTAATCATAATAAAATAATCTACTCAAGTATTATAGTTTCTCTTGGAAACAATCAGAGTTTCAATCTCTGCATTGTATATCCGGAAAGTTTCGTTCATCATTTTCAAAGAGTGTAAAAAAATTCATATCAAAGTGAAAGCAAGATCAGTGAAGTATTATGAATACAGCAAGAAAAAAGTTTACCTAATTTGATTTTTATTGTTTACTCCAACTATTCTAATTATATACATTTGTTTCCTTAACACTTGCAATAGGATATCACAACAAACAACCAGATAGAAATTAAAATGTCAGTGATGAATCATAGACAGGAAAACGCTATTGACTTCATCGAGAATAGCTTTTGAAGCAGTATGTTTCTTGATAAAGAGAGAACGAAATGAAAATACTTCAACTCAAAAAAGGTTTCAAAATGCAATCGGACACAGGCACTGATTTCACAAAACCACATCATCTTTACTTGCAAGGTTTTCTTGTTTGTCAATTGGATAAGAAGAGCTAGTGTGAAACAGCTGAAGTAGATTGAAAATCAAAAACGGACAATTTTCATCTGGGCGCATGATGGGGAAAAGGACATCTCGTCTCACTTCTTACGAACACCGGTAAATGTGACCGGGTGTTCGGAAATGATTTTTTTTCGTAAAAATTTATGACGGTAGTTCGTAAACACCTATGTACCGGAGATCGTAAGAGACAGCAGGAAGATCGTAATGTATTTACCGGATGTTCGGAATAGGGTATTTTTGTTGTATTTCATGTAACACCTGAAGATCGTAATGAACACGGTCGGGTGTTCGGAAAGTTATTCTAAGGGTACTTTAACATGGAGTTCATAAAAGAATTTATAATGATATTGTAATTGATATCCAGACTTTCTGTTCTAATAAACAATAATAGGTTGTACATTTGATTACATTCATAATTATGTAAGTAGAAAATTATTCTTTCTCTACCTATACTCAATGTGCTATAGTTTTCGAAGTTGTGTCTAATTTTCTTCTTTTAATCTATTCATGAAACCAAGAGATAACAGTATTCCTGGCTCCGGTAGAAGTGAAATATTATATAATGTAAAAAAAACAGACTCTATGTTCATAAAATTACCTCCAGCTGCTGATTGTCTTCAATATGTACAAGATTCAAAATATTTGATTGCTCGTGAAAGATGCGAATTCATATCTCGTTTATTAAATAATAATGTTGCAGCAGCAAGAGACAGCTCTAATGTCGATTATGATGTTACAAAGTTAGGAACACGACAACAACAATCACAAAAATGTTTAAAAGAAACTGTGGTAGCACCCACAGTATTCTCTTCGACACCAACATCGACGCATACACCACGTGCACAAAAGAATGTTATATCATCAACAAAAACGACATTATTATCATCAGGTACTAAGAAGAGTGCTTCTTCTTCACAATCATCTTCTGATGAAAGTTCTCAATCGCCACCATTAAAGAAACAGAAGAATAAAAATAATAAACTGATTAAAAAACAAAAGCAACAACACGTGTTGAAAACAACAACTGAACAAGGTGCTCCGGCACCTCATTTACGTTCAATTCCAATATTGAGTCGTCTTAGAGTTAGACCCAACGATCATACTGCTGGTGTTTCGTCGTCTTATTCCACATCATTATCTGAACCTGGTCTCATTGCTACAATATCGAAGAATAAACAAACAGCTAGGGTCAAGAAGCGTCAACATTCATCGAAACATAAATAGAACGATGATGTACATTCGCACTATAGTTACGAATAAATATATATTCCTTTTCTTTCAATAAAACTGATATTTGTAACAGAGTGTGTTGAAGGAATTAGGAGAATAGTAACTAACACTAGGATTATAATAGTGAACAGAAGCACAAACTTGATTGCTTGAATTCATCAAAATGTTCGCTATACGTGATTTTAGGTTGCGAAACTAGCATATCACTTCATATTCTCTCACACGTGAGCAAATCTTAACATACTTACGCCAATTGTGTCGTTTTTTTTTCTTACGACCTTCATGTCTTTGGCATTACGAACATCCGGACGTTCGGATTCCGATCTTCAGCCAAATTTTGATGTTCGTAAAGAAAAAAATTGACATGGAGTTCGGAATCAATTCTGAAAATAGCTTTTTCAATGGTTATAATCGTTGAAAAAGCTATTGTAAAAATTGATTCCGAACTCCTGCACAGGCTTCGTTCCGAACATCCTGTATTTTTGTTGTATTTCATTTACGAACTCCATTCCGAACACCATGACATTTTCTTCATGTCGGGAGATCGTAAGCACACTAATTTACCGGGAGATCGTAAAAATAGGGTGAGACGAGATGTCCTTCACCCGCATGATGAAGCACTCATTGTTGGTCTTATTGAGGAGGGTCGAATCATTGACATGTTATATGTCGTTTACTTTCGCTGGTGATTACAACTTACTTCAAAATTATTACAGTAGTGTCAAACTTGAAACTTGAATTCAGTTGAAAATAGAAAATTTCAACTTTCAACTCATAGCGATATATGTGTGAGTCACGATTCTTCAGAATGCTATTGGTTTAAACGTTGAAAATTGAAATTTTCAATTTTCAATTGAATTCAAGTTTCAAGTTTGACATATATGAATTATTATTTCTAAACGAGAAAAGGAAAGAAAATAGGAACCAGATACACATGCGTACTTCGTCCCTCGACTACGGCATTCTCTTTACAAAAAGAAAAGAAGAAAAAAAAGGGAGGTCCGCCTATTTTTTTCTATTTCTATTTCTTCTCAACTACAAGTAATGATGAATTACATTAAAAAATGCATTCATCCTGTGTGAGTTGGTCGGATGTGAACAACAATCCCTACAGCTAAAAAGTAAAATTTATTACACAGGCTGAATCTTAAGCATAGTATTTTGATTAGTATTGTTTTGATTGATCTCTGATCGCCATACAGGTCTCCTTGTTCTTGTAATGAGTTTGAACGAATTAAGTAATGTCTATGACAATGTGTAGACGGATGGTTAGCATCGCAAGAGTTTATCAATACATAAATTAGTCGCTATCATGGCCGATTCTGTCAATAAGTACTGAAAGTGAAAGAGAACATACATAATTCTGGATTTTGAGTGTTCTAAGATCTTCAAAATTCTAACAAGTGAAAAATAGTTTAACAACAGCACGTAAGCTTGTGTTTTTTTACTGAGAAAAAAGTTGGAGGATACAAAAAGACGGTGATAAGAAAATGAAAAAGAAAGTTAAGCGAATGATTTTATTTTTACGAAACAATGGTATTTTCAATAGTAAGATGAAATCCGGCATTTACTGATATAGAGTTTATAAGAATTTGTAAATGTATATCTTTGAAAACAATTGTGGATTTCTTACAGATGCGAAGTAACAGGCAAAAATTGGAAGTCGTCTACAATAGCAAGGAGATCTCTGAATGTTACTCATGATGAATTATTGATTCTCAGTAGGGGTGGGCCATTAACATTAATGTTAATGTTTTCATTAAAATCAATGACTTAATATTAATGGTTAATGTTTTCATGAAAGCATTATAACTTTCCATATTAAGTAATTAACACATTCGGAGAAAACATTAGCTATTAAGATCAGTTAATTGATTAATAATTGTAGATAATGTTTCCTTAGAAAAGCCTAATTCAGTAATATGGAAAAATTAATGTTTTCATGAAAACATTAACCATTAAGATTAATGGCTAATGGAAGTCATTAATTAATGTCATTAATTAAGTTCCGTTAAAAAAAATGGTCCACCCCCTAATCAGCATTCATCGCTTATTATTTTCCACAAGTTTATTTTGTATTTTATCATAACTCAAATTTTTCTGGTAATGAATAAGTATAAATGAAAATGCATATACACAGGATGGTGTAAAATTTCACGAAGTTTCAGAATATGTCGTTACTTTTAAAAAAATATATTCTTTTGGATATATATATATATACAACTTTTATGTCTAACTAAAACTTTACAAAAAAGAACTGGTACATGATCACTGTGTGAATGTTTTTTTTTTGCTTTTGAACTATTTTGTATTTTGTACTTAGTATTAAACGAGTTCTCAGTCAGCCTACTAAATAGGCGAAAGGAAAAATACTATTAAAAAAACAAATGTCACTATATAGTACAAGAATTTGTTCAAAACACATGATTATACACATTAAAAGTTTTTTTTTCGTCTAACAACCATCTGATCGTTGCATAGATTGATTTCGAGAGATAAACAATTTAGTTCATCCACACCATTTTAACAATCGATTTGTCTTATATGTAAGACAATTTTCTTCGTCTTTCAACAAGACTTTTAGAAAAATTCTCTCGTGTATTTTATTTGAGATATTAAGTCGGAAGAAATATTTTTCTTTTATATGAAAACAGATTATGTGAGAAAAAGATATTAAATTTTGAAATACGATTCAACTGTTTTATTAATTGCAGAGAGAAATTGTTTTACTATATAAATCTTGAGATTTAATTCTTCATCTTCTCTCTATTTGAAACCTCCAGAAAAGTGATGTAGCAAACCATTATTGATCTACAGTTTGTGATCGTATAATAACGATGTATTTACTATTGTCTATCTCCGTCGAAGTTTTCACATTCTTTTGTACAATTTATACATCAAGAAAAAAAAGGAAGACATTACACTTTTAACATCTCACAACACTTTATTGTATTACTTTTTCGATCTTCATGTAACATTTACAACAGATCTTAAAATTTCACCATCACATATTTGGATCCTTGTCATATTCACGTAGATCAATATAGCATGTTCCATTAGTTTCATATTGCTGATTAATAGCCGTATTGAATATGTGCTTTTCCAATGTCAGATCTATCAATTCTAGTGAAGATGACCAGATAGGTCTAGATTCATCAATAAATCTACTGAATGCATATTCACACATGACTCCACATATAGATTGTATGCATCAATGGTGTCGACTCGGGCTCCTGATTCCAACATGATTATATCTATCCAATTTTCTTTTTTCGTAAATTAGAGAAAAAAGATGATGGCAAGCTCATCACATTCACTGTGGTTTCGATGCATAAATTGTTCGATTGATCGCCGACAAAATTCCTTAATTGCTGTTCCACTACTTTGATCATCAATAGCTAATTAAGCAATCTTAGTTATCCGAAGATCTTTCCAAATCACTATTGTGAATCATAAGAATAAATAATATTGGTCTCTGCGCAGTTGAAACGATGAAATTATTTTACTCTATGAAAATCATATTTGATATATTGATCATAGGTTGTGATAAAAGTAAACAAACACCATCTCATTAAACGAATTTTTCAGTTAACACTTGCATATGTTTACTGACGAAAAGATAAAAAGAAACGAAAATCCACTGTAAACACTTTATATTTTACTCAACAAGTAATTTCTAACGATCACTATTGATAATATTTACCATCAATGAATTCATGTGTTACTCTATTTAAATCAGACTGATATATGACAACTATCTAAATAGACACTTTCATAATCTATGACAGTTTTATTTATGCCAAACGTTTTGACAGATTTGATATTTCTTTTTATTAGTTACCATCTAAAAATTGTGCCGATAATATGCAACATATTTCGATCCATTAGAGCAATATTTTACTGTAAAATTTGATGAAATAGTGATGAATATTAGCGGGATCATCTTCAATAAAAATATAGATCATAGTCACTTTAAAAAAAAGAAACTAGCAGCTGTTTGTAAATGTCGAGATTATTTATAGTATGAACACTTTGTAAGTTTTAAATGTTTTATAGTCTTTTTCTTCCAATATGAATAAACAGAATATTGTTTGATTGCAAATGTATTCAGTCGAGTAGTTGAAAACAATTGTAATCCTATTACTTTTATGAATGATTTCTCCTTAATTTATTAAAGATTGAATCGTTTTCTTTTTGTTAACTTAGAAAAAATGATGGAAAAATAAATACTATTTTTTCTATGACATTTTAAGCAGTTCAGTTTGATTTAATTAGATCTGAATAATATTGTGACATATATAGACTATTTTTAATCGATTAAATAATTCATTTCTACTCTTAAAGAAAAAGACGATATTTTAGTGAGAAACTTTAAACGCGCAACTAGATTTTCGTTTACTATATTCTATTAAAACGAATAGAAAAATCGTGTATCATAATATTTTAACGTCATCTACTCTCTTTATTTCTTTTATTTAAGTGAAAAATGTTGCTCTGGTAGATCGATGTTACCATCAATCCGCACGATTTCGTCATCGCAACATGTATTTGATCAGTAAAGATCATTTATCTCTTGGTAAGTTTGTAATAAGCAATTTTCCTTATCGATCAGTGAGGCACGATATCTCTTCTGTCCTAAGGTCAAAGTGTAGTATCTGTTCTCGTCGGTTTGAAAGCCGGTGCTGGTCCCATTGGGGCCAGGCTCTTTCAAGCGGATTTTTGGACATCGGCCAGGATCACCCGGGTTCACTCGGATCTGTGCCACGGATCGTCTCGACACTGCAATGCCGTCGAGTTCAGTCCACTCCCGTCTCCTTCGGGAAACGGGGACCGTTTTCTTAAAATAAATAATAAAAATAATTCATTAACTACAGTCTAACATTAACTATGTGATACATGTAGAGTAATTTCATGGCAATATATTAGTTTTAAAATATCAAGTTCGATATATTTTCACAAAATCATTAAACAGAAAAATTAGATTTAATAATGATTATATAATTCATATTTTCTAAGTCTTTAAAACACGACGAATCTCCACCAACTGATCAACCATCATCATTTGATATATTGGATTTCTATTATGCTCTACCCAGACAGACAAGACCCTCAAAAAAACGCGTAACAACGCGTTTTTTATCCGTTAAAACGCTGTTTCTACACATCCCTAAAAAGAAAACGCCGTTTTGACGCACTTTTCATCCGTTTTTCAGCGTACATTTATCTACGATTTTTTTTTCTATTAAAAAAATCTCCGTTAACTAGCGTTGATTCCGTTCCTTTTACGTTGATAAACGAGTTCAATTATGAACACATTTTATTGAGTTAAAAAATATTTCGTTTTTCGACGGAATTCAAAGGAATTCTACTCGTATTAACCGGTTCAATTATGAACACGTTTTATTGAGTTAAAAACTTTTTCGTTTTTTTATGTGATTCAAACAAAATAAATTCGTATATACCCGTTCAATTATGAACATGTTTTTATTAGTTAGAAAATATTTCGTTTTTTCATATGATTCAATGAAATTAAATTCGTAATTACCCGTTCAATTATGCACACATTTTTATTAGTTAGAAAATATTTCGTTTTTTCATATGATTCAATGAAATTAAATTCGTAATTACCCGTTCAATTATGCACACATTTTTATGAGTTAGAAAATATTTCGTATTTCGATGTAATTCGAAGTAATTCTACTCGTTATAATAATCCGTTCAATTATGAACATGTTCTTTTTTGAGTTAGAGAATATTTCTTTTTTTTGTATGATTCAAAGAAAGTCGGCTCTTATTAACCGGGTGAATTATGAACGTGTTTATTCATTGTGAGGAAAGTTCGATTATATTTTCTATTTTGAAGAGATAATGAAAATTTATTGTTCGCGTGGAAGTTTAATCTTTTTGGCAGTATGAGAAATTATTTTGGCTATGTGAAAGGTTGTGAACAGTAGTGTAGGCCGGTTTGTTTCTAATAATGTTGGGAAAGAAGGTAAGCTCTATAGGATAAAGATAAAGTTTGATGATGAATATATGATTTTGTGATAATGATAAAAAAGTAGAGAATGCAAGTGTTTTGTCATTAGAAATAGTATATAGAGATTTTTTTTAAAATCACGTGTCCTCTACTAAATTGGGAAATATGTAAAACTCAGTAGATGTTTTCACTTTTGGATCTTTCCGGTAAGCAACTTTTTCTTTGATGGTTTTGTAGCCGATTGAAACAATAGTAGGTGGATTTGAATGTTTAGCATAAACAAGAAAGTCATTAACATATTCAATTTGATCAAGAGAAAAGGTATCAAAACCTACGATTTCTGCTTTATCAATGATGAATATGATATCTTTGGTTGTTTTTAATTGTATTATACCCATAATTATTCCAATATGAAGATTATTGAAATGATCGAAGTATATAACAGCCGAATTATCCACTTGTGTATGTTTTGAATGGTGAACTGCGAAAGCGACATTTTGATAGAAGCATGTTGAATGATGGGTGTATTGATCTTTTGTGTATATGTTTTCAAGATATTCAGTGACATGTGGAAATGCAGAAACTGTTGAACGAGATAAACAGACCACATTGTGTGACATTAGAGATGTCGGTATAGCACGTCGCTTAGATGAAAATATTTGATGAATCAATAATGCAATTTTTGGATGGAAAGCAGGATTTTTTAAAATAGTTGTTGCATAAGATTGATGTTCGAAATTGTTGATCAATTGTTTTAAGATAAAAGATGGTCCATGTATAGATTTTACAAATGATCCTAATAAAAAAGAGCAATGGTCAGTAAAATCATCAATATTGCTATAAAACATTTAGCAATATATGTTTTCAAAAATAACTATAACGAGTTTTAAATGATGCATAGATTGCAACGGGTAACTTGCACATACCAACTGTACTTTCAAAGTTGAAAGTGCTGTAATTATGAATAGGACCAAATTTGACTAAGGATTGATGAATATGTGAGAGCGAATGTACAATTGATACAGAATTAGACGCCTAAAAATATTATAGGAAATAGTCAAATACTATAGGAGGATGATAATCAATATACGAACTCCGTATAATGCAGGAAACTCATCAAGAAATTTATTTAAAAGATGCTTGATATGATCCAAACGAGTAGTCGTTAATATTCTTGTTTCCGAGAAAATAGCTGCATAGACTAATAATCGAAAGTGCTCATAATATTTCTTTTTCATCACTTGTTCAAATGATCTATCACATAGAAATTTTTTCTTTTAATGAATATTTGAACATGTGTCATACATACTTATATCCGAACAGTAGTGTCATTCTATATTCATTAGCTTTCCACGTTGTGTAATACTTTAGCGCACGCGGTAATCTATTGGTAGTTGGATAACGGATACATTTCAATAATTCCTCTAAGCGAGAAAATTGTTTCTTAATTGAATAATCTACTCTAACTGTATCCAACCATAAATGCATTAACTTTTTCTATAATGATAAATAAGAAAGCATCTTCTTTTTTTACAAAGCTCTTCATATTCTTACGAATACTCCAGCATATAAACCATGTAGAGAATCAAAACAAAAACTGCTGCCAATTTCAAAATAAGATAATTGACGTAAAGCACAAGGACCAGCATGCCCACATGCTCTATCTTTTGATGGATCTTTTGCTACATAATTCTAAAAGAGAAACATAGATAAAAAGAGTAAGAAATAAGTAGTCAAATGAGGCTTTCCACCGTATTTAAAATCTTCATAAAATGATCATATGTCATGTTATTTCGAAGCATTGCAGGAGTTCTACTATCGTTAACAAAGTATCGTGAGTTGGACGAATTAGTTTCACCTATATATACAAGTATGAATAAGTCGAGAAATGAATATTTCATCAAAAAAGGACAGTTAACAAAAATGTAAACTTGATCAAAAGATTACACTGCTAACCTGGTATGCAGCACCAACCACAGCTGAAGAAACCTGTAGGATCTTTAATATTCATCATGATTGCTTGCGCGGGTTTATCACACACTGCTGCAATAGTAAAAGCATGGAAATGCGTGTAAGTTCTATTATTAGTTTTGACAGTTAATGGAAGTAAAACATCAAAACCAACTTGTTCAAGAAATCTTAACTCATTCACAATATCTTGTAATATTGTTGAGTATTCATCTTTCTTCGGTTTTTCATCTCCAGTAGATACAGAACATATTAGCATATTGTTAATATCGTAACGTTTTTTTCGAGGTAACTCATTTATACAAGCACATGTAACCCATATCGATCGAGATATTCGTTTGAGAAGGACTCCGTCAGTGTTCAACGTGAGAGTTACATTATTTCTTACACGATTATTTTGCTTTTCTTTAATTGCTATTTCCTGAGCACGTTGAGAGTTTGCTAAATCGTCACATTGATTTAATTCATAAGTTGGCATGATAACAGTTTCTCGTTCAAGAATTGAACGAATTTGTGGTGCTAAAGGAAAAACGACAACTGATATTGGAGTTCGTACAGAAGAATTCGATGGCTGACATCTAGTCAGATCACATTTTGAACCATTTACACATTTATTGCCACATGAAGGACAAAGAAAAAATTGATTTCCTCCGAGTAATGTTGGATTATTTCTTTTTAAATGTTTCATTACTGCACGAAAATCTTTTGGCATGTTTGGAATATTGAACATGTTGATGATATGACATATGTCATTTGCAGCAGCTTTACTTATGTTATGTCTTTTCCACGTAAAAAACAGCATTACGATAATTCAGTAGCGTTAGGCAATCTTTCATTTTCGAAATCATTGTCATAGAAGTTGTTTTGAAAATCCTGACTTTCCTCAATGCCATCATCTTCATCTTCATCTTCACCTTCATCTTCGTCTCCATCTTCATCATCATCATATTCATCATCATGAGCTTTATCTCCATCATCACCATCTCCTATACTATTACCATCATTATCGAATTGATACAAATCGTCAACTTCATTTTCATAATTATTATCATTATCACTATGTCTTTCCGATGAATGTTGTTTATTTGCTTCCTTTAAAACTGAATCTGATGCTGGATTATATTCATCATGTTTTAATGTTGATGTTGTGCCATCATCGATAACTATCTCTTGGACAAAGACGCATGCTTCATCTTCTCTATTAAGAGTAATTGTTATGATATAAATATTAGAAAAAAAACATGAGTAAACGTACGGAGTTTCGTTCAAATCATCAGTTGTCATCATTTCCATTATATCAAGCTGTTTTCTTTCTCGGACACGAGTACGATAACGACTAAAGCGAGATTTTTTATCCACTATCATTTGTATCTCATTGTAATCTTCGTCACTCATCTAAAACCATTCCTTCTTTTAGATTGTTTCATAATATTTCATTTATTTTTTTTATAAAAATATGCAACTCAAATAATGGCTCATTTTCTGTATTTCTGATGTTTAGATATATAATAATAACACTTTAATCATTACATAAATCTGACATTTGTTATTGTAAGTCATAGAAAAGAACTTTATTGTAAATAAAAAGAAAAAGAAAAATAACATAAAATGTGTCTTTGATTTTTCATTAAAATATCACTGAGAATTAAGTAATGTAGATAAAACTAGGGGTGAGGATTTATCGTTATTGTTATAAATAACAATAACCAAAAGGTTATAGTTATTAACAACAATAACAAAAAAGTTGTAGTTATTAATAACAATAACAAAAAAGTTATTGTTACTTAATAACAAAAGAAATAACAGATAACTTTTTTTTCCTGAAAAGTCTTAGTTTTGATTCGTAACTATATCGAAACATATCAGGTTTATTTGTTTATATAAGCAAAGAAAACTGATATGTATCGATATAGTTACAAAGCTAAACTAAGATTTTTCAGAAAAAAAGGTTATCTGTTATTTTTTTGTTATTAAGTAACAATAAATTTTTTGTTATTGTTATTAATAACTACAACTTTTTGTTATTGTTGTTAATAACAATCGAATAACAAAAACTTCTCACCCCTAAATAAAACTAAATATGAATAAAGTATAAGTGATTGATCGAAAAAACATCATTCAGGAAAATCAATAAATAAAGCACTTATATGTCAATACCAAAGACATGAGAATTATTCTTCTTCGTTGTTACTTGAATCATTAACTGCTTCGCTTGTTCGTCCACGCGATTGGGCATCGTTCACATGATTAGTCGATTCATTTTCTTCATCGTCATCATCATTATCAGATTCATTTTCTTCATCTTCATCGTCATTATCAGATTTATTTTCTTCATCGTCATCGTCATTATCAGCATCATTTTCTCCATTATAATTTTGATCCATCAGTAAAGCTCCACGTGTTCGATGGGATAAATTGCCTTGTCTGATATTAGCAGCTATGTCGCTTCGCATTTTTTTATAATCTAAACTACTTTTTGGGTTAGATAGACGAGCAAATGCTGAAATGAAAAAGCAATAGAATGAAATCTTTTTCATAGTTAAATCAGTAGTTTTGTCGACTTTAAAAATATATTTTTTTTTCTCGAATCAATCAATATTATTAAAAAGAAAGTAATATCTATATTTAGTTTTCTATTTGTTAAAAAACTAAAAAGAATTTACCGTAAATATTATCAAGTGTAGATATTGGAACTTTCTTTATCGATTTCACAAATACTTTATCATCAATTGTTGGGCATAACTTTCTCCATATGTTCATAGCAACTTTGCCGGGCTTGTCGGTATCACGTTGAACATATTGAATCATATGGTCAGTTAAACCAAGTGCGCGTCCTATTTGATGAATAGTACGACCATCCAGAGCTGGGCAAAATACTCGAAGTACTCGTACTCGAGTACTGTTTTATTGGTACTTGTACTCGTACTCGTACTCGAAGGAGTGATACTCGTACTCGTACTCGAAGGAGTGATACTCGTACTCNCTAGACTATCAATATTGGTGCTTAAGCTACTCGTGCTTTTACTTGCCCTCGAATAGTTGGTACTCGTACTCGTACTCGTACTCGAATAGGTGGTACTCGTACTCGTACCCGTACTCGAATAGGTGGTACTCGTACTCGTACTCGTACTCGAATAGTTGGTACTCGTACTCGAATAGTTGGTACTCGTACTCATACTCGTACTCGAAAAACTCCGTACTTGCCCAGCTCTGCGACCATCACCTTGATATGAATCACCATGAGACTCCATAAAAATCGATAATTCGCTCCAAAATGATGCACGAGGTCTCACTAAAAATACCGAAAGTGAAATGAATTTTTATTTAAAAAATCTTCAATAATAAAAATGACTAATAACACTGCTCTATGATAATATGTTACAAACGATCAAAAACGAAATTTCAATGAATAGATTATCATCAGCGTTGCCTGATCTTCTGGATTTTCCAGGAAAATTCCGGATTTTTCCACTTTTTCTGGATTTTAGGATTTTAGATTACTATTTTAAATTACATATTATTTATTTGTTAATATTTTTTAAAAAATTTTATTTGATAGTAGCTCAGTTGCTAATTGCTCGATTTCGTCGATATACTTAACACACTAATTGCATTTAATTCATTCTAACCTATAGATTTTTTGATTATATGTTTTTTTCCAACAATCTTTAAGGAGATAATAATCTGTATTTTTACTTTATAGAAGCTTATGAATAGTTTTTTTCAAAGCCAGAACTATCAAAACTTGTTCAGCTTAGTGAAAAATAATCTTTTAAAAAACAACGTATTAATTAATAGTGAAATTTAAAATTTATCATTTCCTATATGCTTAGTTTATTATATTTAGAGTTTTGATGTCGTTTTTCTGTTGTTATATTGAAACACATGCTTTATGAACTAATAAATGATTTAATTGAGAACGAGATTTAGAGAAAATGTTTTTAGCGGATAGAAATCAAGTACTAAAAATCTTTCTGAATTTCACAAGAAAATTTTCTGGAATTTTTCGGATTTTGACATTGGAATTCCGGATTTCTGACTATGAAATTTGACAACACTGGCTATGATACAATAATATTCATTAAAAACTATATCAGGTTTTGATTCATATGATATATCTTCTTTTGAATATAATGAGTCTAGAAGGATATAGGAGTCTACGATACAGTATTGTTCTATAAAATATTCTTACGGTTAATAACGTTATAACAAAATCTATGTGTAAAAACATGACGACTGATATGCTGATCGATTTAATCTATGGCATATATGAATATAACTTACATATATGTGTTTGATTCATTTTTTTCGCTCCTTCCGTTCTTTTGAAAGAGCATCTTTCAAATTTTCAATTTTATTTGACAAATCTTTGTTTTTCTTTTCTAAATCTCGATATTCCATAGTGTTTTTTTTATATCTATCGGATTCCATTGAGATTTATTATTTGTTGATGATCGACTCATAGTCGATGGAATATTTATAGTAGAAGTACATATGAGCGATCGATCGATAGTAGCACTGAAATATGAAAAAAATCAAAAACGGTAAGAAGAGCTAAGAAAAATCCATACTTGTTGCTACACTGATTCGAGTTATAATCCATGTGTTGATTGGTTGTTGTCGACGTTTCAAATGTAATTGTACTAAAGCATTTAAAGTAAGATATGCATAGAAATATATTATCAGGATGCTACCTTTGAGATACATATGGTGCTTTTGTCTTTGACGTTGTTTGAGATAAGATATTAGAACTAAAAATATAAATAATTAAATTTTAATACTTGGCTAAGTATTTCTCATGAATTTTTCTATTGAAGAGAATACTCACAGATTGTAAATGCTTTAATACGATTAATAAGTAGAACTGTTTTCTTATGCTCCTGTAATAGATTTTTTTCTTTCAGTTTCATACAGCTTCTTTTCTCATACACTTTTTTTAAGGTCAGATTAAATATGAACTGTCATACTTTCGTTTCTCTAGTGTATTCAAAGTGTTTTTTAACTACAGAAGTCATTTTTCATTTATAAAGCTTACTCCTAATATAATCATAGTAAACCGAACAATATTCGATTTCACAAGCAAAACAAGTCTTATTCAAAAATAAATTAATGGAAAAGTGTATGTAACTGTAATACTCGATACGGCGCATATTCTGAACAACGTTAAGCATTAGTTCAATAAGAAAATGTAGAATATATGTTGAGAATTGAAAAGAAATATTTGTGAATTATACAATTCACAAGTACAAAATCTATATGTCAAAACGCGGATGAGATTACTATTTGACATATATCTCGATTTTATCAATCGAAATGATGGAGTTGCGTGTATTTTTACGTCTGAACTTCCACTATATTGTGAATCCTATCAGAAATATTTATCTGAGTAAAATTTGACTAATATTTTAATATATATTTGTCTATATTTTTAATTTAATATAATCTTAACTTTACATGACGTT